AGGCCCTCCTGATAAACTGCCAGGCTGGGGACCTCTGTGATCCGGTCCGCCAGGGTCCCTGAGAGACCCTGCTCCCATCACTGAGCTGGGAAGGTCAGCCTCCACCTGTTCATAGACAGGGCAGGGTGGGTGCCAGCTCCTGACCCCAAGGCAAACGCCAGCCTCTTCACTGGGCAGAGGTCTGGACTGTATGAATATGACACACGAAAGTAGAGCCCACATGTATAGAGAACCGAAATCCAGGAAGACTGCAGGTAGGAGGTGCAGCAGCGCACAGTGGAGCTGGGTCAGTAACACCCGGCAGCTTTGCTCCCAGCTTCCCTAACTAACTCCGAAGTGAAGGGCAAGTCTCTAACTTTCACTGTCTCCTCTGAACAAATGGGGACAAAAGCTGCTCTAAATATTTCAGGGGGTGTTGAAGGGTCAACTGTGACGCCACATGGTATAGCAGTCTCTGACCAATGCTGTGTCCCAGTTAGAACAAACTCCAGTTTGAACGGTCCTCTTTTTTTTTTTTTTTTGCATATCTTTTCTGATTTATTAACCATGTGGTGTTTTCTTTTTTTTTTTTTTTTTCTATAATTATATTTTATTAATTTTCATAAACATTTACAGAGATTTTGGGCTTCCACTCATTCATTGTTGCGCTATTCTCTCTACCCTCCTCCCAGTTTGTTCTTGTCCAAATGCCACAGTGCTTGTCAAAGCCAGTTCTGATTAATCTTCTTTGTCAGTGTATCCTTTGCCATTCCCTATCACTCCTCCCTGAGAGAGACTTCACCCTGAGTCATAAGGAAAAGGGGACGGCGTATTCTCTTAGCTACTTCCTGCTGAAAAGGGACGCTGTGGGTTTCAGGGTGAAGATCTTCTCTCACTACTCTAATGAACGGTCCTCTTTTTATACAACTCTTTATCAGTGATGTGTCACAGCACATAATATGCTGATGTTATCAAGGTAGATACTCACTTGCACATATTCAATGTTATGATTTATAAGGATAATAAAAAGCAATAATTATGATAACTTTTTAAGACATGTGAGGTATGTCCACTTCTACCAGAACTGACTGATGATAAAAGCTGTGGAAACAGACCCCACCCTAAGTCGGGATCACCTGTGAAGACTGCAGGTAACACGGTTCCAGTCTCATTCTGCTTCCCACAGAAGCTAACACGTTGCCTACATGGTCGGACTGCAAACGTGCTGGAGCGTGGGTCTTACAAAAGGAAGATGCTCAGGGCAGAGCTCCTCGTTGGCAGGGACTACCTCCCTCAAGATGAGGGCTGGCTCAGCTCCTCCCAAATCATCCTTTGTTTTCAACCAGGGTGCTTTTCTCATTGCACACTGAGAAACAGATATAAAATAAGCAGTCTCCACTGTATCTAATCTAGAGCTAGGTGAAATTCCGTCTAAGGAAAAAAAAAGGTCAAACAACAACGTCAGCTCATTTCAATGTAAGGTGACCCTCTGTATGTGAGAGAGGACTCTCATCTGTCCAGTTCTCAGTCACTGATTTCTGGAGAAATTGTCAGGACTTTCCTCCAAGGCTCCTCTGAGTGGGCTTGAACCCCCGACCTTCTGGTTAACAGCTGAGAGAATGAACCACTGTTACGCATTGGCTCTGGAGATGGAATCCGTCACACCCAATATGCTGTGTCTGTGAAAAGCACCGGCTTGGAGGTGATGTGGCCCAGACAGCTAACGGAGGGAACACGCGTTCTCTCCTTCCGTTCTGCTACCACGCTGCTGTCACATTGCAAGGAGCTGGTTTGGTAAACAGAGCTTTTTCTCACAGCACCATTTTTGTCCATTTATTAATTGTTATTCCCCTCTCCTTTTCCCATCTCTGGTCGTCATCCAGGAATGATTCTTTCTGTGTGTAAACCTTTCCCAGTTCTTTATAAATGTGGTTTTGCACCATCACTGTCTTCTTGACTAACTTCAGCCACTCAGCATTTCTTCTAGATTGATCCATAGTGTGCAGTGGTTCATGAATTCTCTACTGTCCTTTCAAGTGCTCACAGCCATCGAGTTGGAACTGACTGACAGCTGATACTCTAACAAGTGTGGAGATGGGAGAATGCCCATTTTTGTCTGATGGAGACACAGGAGACTTGAACTGACAGAGAGGCATGTGTTAGTTAACAGCACAACTCCCTACCCCATTATGTGAATGCACCAGTTCTTTCTTCTTTTTTTTAACAGACGACTTTATTCCCCCACCATTTTCTTTCATTTTGCTCCCCTCTCCCCACACTGTCAGCCCTCCACTGCTGACTGATGCGCTCTGTGTGGAAACCTTTCTTTAGCTTTACATATTGGTGAACTTATGATCTTTCTGTGGCCGACTTCCATCATTAAGCATAATTTGTTCCGGAATCATCTGGGTTGTGCAGTATTTCACGAATTCTTGATCTGTTTACCAAATGACATCACTGCTGGTTTGGTAAACAGAGCTTTTCTTGATCCCAGCCAGTCATCACCATCCCACTCACCCAGGCACAGAGGGCAGGAATCCAGCCCCACAATGACAGGAGGGTTATGGAGATAACCGAGCATTTAACTGCCAGGCTTCACAGCGCCGTAGGACCTCACAGCACTTCCACCACCTCCTCTCAGGGCCTGGAAAACACATGCCTTTGTTCTTAGAAACTGTGGGCTGTCTGGTGTGGCTCTCACTCCCAGCTGGCTGACCCTCGGATGCTCACCCTACCTCTCTGGGCTTCATGTCCAGGAAAAGAAAGAAAGAAAGAAACTGTACTGATTGATCTTCAGGAACCTTCTGACTTTCAAATTCTGTTCCTTTATCAAGCTTCTGATTCAGTAGCTCTTCCTTTCATTTGGGGGAAAGAGTCATTCAACTCGTTTCCCCACCCTCCTCAGAAAGTTTTATGCACCCGCAGTGTCAACCCATCCACCCACCAGGCAGGTCCGTGAAGGGAGGCAGCCGGCAACCAACCCCAACTCGCCCACAGCCAACCCCAACTCGCCCGGTGAGTTTCATGTTGAAGAGAAAACACAGGCAATCTGGGTCTGAAACTGCCTTCACAGTGTCTGTTCAAACTTGATCTTCACTTACGCAAGGTTGCCAGCAATCTGCCTCTGCAGGAAGCCAATCCCCTGCATGGACCTGATACCCACTCACAGGACAGAGCCCAGCTGGCCCCCATTATGGGGTTGGTTTCCAAACCTGCAATGTGTGAGGAAGCCGACTGCCACACCTTTGGCCTGCAGAGTGGCCGCAAGATTCAAACCACCTACCTTCTGGTCAGTAGGCAAGCACTTAGCCATTGCACCAGAGAGCTCCCTCCTCTACCGGAAGCAAGCCTCCAAAGGCCAGTTTTAAAGACCTCTCCCCATGTGCACTGCAATCATGTCGCTGTTAGATGCCATCCAATCGGGATCGACTCATAGCTGACTCTCCAATGGGGTTTCAGGGGCTGTGATTGGCAGGAGAGGAGGCTGCCCAACCTTCTCCCATGGAGCAGCTGGTGGACTTCAACTCCGTGCCTTTGGGTTGGCCGCACAACTCCTTACCATCAGGCCGCCATAAACAGACACACCAAAAGCTCTGTACAATTATATACTCTCAGATAATTACAGCCTCACATACGGATTTTCAGGAATAAATATTCAATTAAATCCTTGTAAATCTAAACTGCTGAATGTGCAAAGTGTCTTTGTTGGACACAATAATTTTATCACTATCTTTGAGCAAGAAATTATACAAAACGGTGAGAAATTCAGCTCTTTCTTCTAAAACAATATTTTCAAAAGAAATTTTAACTTTTATGACTTTTGAAATCTTTCAAATTATTCCCCACCTTCTGATGACTTAGTGATAAAGAATCGTGCTGCCAATCCAAAGGTATGTGGTTCAAAGCCACCAGCTGCTCCATGGGAGAAGGATGGGCAATCTCCTGTACTGTGATTTACAGCCTCTGAGAACACACTAGGTCAGTTCCAATTCCACGGTACACAAAAACAAGGGGGAGGGGGAGAATTGTAATTACATCTCTAAACATAAGTGATTTTCCCAAACCTTTATTCTGAAAAGTTTCAAACTGATAGAAAGCTCCAAGAGTGGTACACTTAGTTATATTTTTAAAAAGAAATACAACTCCTTGCAAATCTATTCTTTTTCAAGTTTTTACGTTCGTAAAGGTTGAGAAGAAAATAGGTATGCACATAATCGTCATAGCGCTAGTACTAAGTTATCTATGTGGAAACAAATTTTGGATTTTTCGGAATCCTAGCAAGGCATTTTAAAAATCACTGGCTTTCCTTCCAGTGTGGGGCAGTGTTTCCGGCAGGGAGCAAGTGGAAACCCATTCTCAGGGCTGTGGCTTTGAAACCGCCTGGAGAGTAGCTCCGGGTTTTCCCAAAGTCACACCAGAGCACGTTCCTACCGAAAACAACTTCCATCAACACTACAATTTCATTTCAAAAGCAGAGGAGGAAGGAATCCATTTCTTTTACGGCGGAGTCCTGACTCACTCTGTCCTCGAGACGGAAAGGTAAACTGAGGACGCCTCGGCCAAGCGGTGGAACTGAACGAGGTCAAGTCCTCAAGACCCCCAGCGAGCACACGGGCGCGAGTCCCTCTCGGATCTGCGGCCGGAGGCCGGGCGGGCCTAGCGAGGTGGACAGTCTCAGGCCGGGCCTCCGGGCTCCGCGCACCAGGCCGGCTGCCCCTCCCGAAGCCCAGGCCCCGCTCCTGCCTCTCCACTTGAATCGCGGACTCAGGCCACCCTGTCCCCCCAAAACCAAACGCGACGTGGACAGGACTGTCGCCCCTGCGGCCTCGCCTGCGTCCCCGACGCCTGTTCAGGCGTCTCCGGGGTGCGTGGGGGGCTCGCTAAGCCCAAGAACAGGCCTAGGACCAGGCCCGGCCCAGGGTGTCACCCCCCCAACCCCCCCGCTGTGCCGCTGCCAGGTGGCCTCCGCCGACCTCAGGGGCCCCCGCCCGCCGTGGGGTGTGGGCGCTGGTCCGGCTCACCTTGGGACCCTCGGGGGGCACGCGCGGGTCGTTCCACGTCGTGGTGCGGTTGTTGTGGTCCACGAAGAAGGGCCAGCCGGTCTGCGGGTCGATCTTGATCTCCCAGCCGGGGGGTAGGGGGTCGCGGTCGCCGGCGCCGTTGCCGGACGCCATCTGCACCATGGGCGAGTGGGTGGCTGCGCTCATACTGGTCGGGGTCGGCCCGGGGTGGGGCGGCCGCCGGGGCGCAGGTTGCTGGGGTGCCGGGTCACGGGGTCACGAGGTGCGGGGTCGCGGGGTGCTGGGTCACGGGGTGCCGGGTCGCGGGGTGCGGGCTTCCAGGTGCCGAGTCGCTGGGCCGCTGCGGGGACCTCTCCGTTGCAGGAGCGCGAGCCGTGCGCCGCCGACGTGTCTGGGAAGCGGGCGCCGGGCACCTTTATGAATTAAAGGAGGGGGTGACGTGGCCGCAGAGGGCTGGAAGTGTCTGGAAATAAGCTCCTTGCTGCCAAAGGGGAAGGAGGAGATAAAGGGAGGTAGCAACTGGCCGGCTAGAAACTTCTGGTCCCATCCAGAGAAGTTGGCGGCGGCCTGGCTGCGCGGCGGAGCTCCGCCCTGAGTCATCGGCTATAATCGTGGCGCGCGGGGCGGGGCGCGCGGGGCGCGGGGCGGGGCCCAGGGCGCCCCTCCCCCACAGGGGCCCCCGGGGGAACGGGAGGGGGAAACCCAAGCCCCCCAGGGGGGTCTGCGGGGGTCCCCCGGCCGGCCTCGGTCGTGACTCGCGCTCGCTCCCCTGCGCGCCGAGTGGGTGTCCCCGGACTGGGCGCGCGCGGTGGCTGCTGCCCCTCCTTCGCACAAACACAGTCATTGATCTCCTCGAAAGTCGTTATAAACTGCGGGTGTCCCGGGCCCGTCCCCCTCATCCTGAGAAGTTGGGAACCGGGGCGCTGCTGAACGACGTTTCAGCACTTTCTTTGCCGGAGCTTGTGCGCCCGCGGAGCGAGGCTGGGCGGGGCTGTGGAACGCCGCCCTGATAAGCACAAAGGCGGCAGCGAGCGCAGCCCAGCGCCCTGGCAAGTCACTACCTACCCCTGGAACCTAAAGAAGGAAAAAGGATTGCACCGGTCGAAGGGTTTATTCTCCTTGGACGTCACTCTCAAATATAGAAACCTGCATGGCAGGGAATAACTTTAAACAAAAATACCCCACATTCTTTGGGGTCTTGATCATTTTTTTATGATAGAGTTTCTTGCAAAGAGGGTGAAATCTTAAGTCTTGACCTTCGTTTCACAAGTAGAAACTAAGCACATTATTAACTCTTTTTTTTTCTTTCTAGTTAGTTCAATGGTGGTTGAACATGTAATTTCCACAGAAAACCCCGTTGCCCAGGGAGGCCTTTGTTCTCAGGACAGAATGGCAGGTTCAGTTCAGACCCTCGGCCATATGGACTCATCACCACCTTCACACACTGGATAAGAAGCTGCCTTGGAATAATGTTAAACCCAGATTTCCAGCTCAAGTTCGGAGAGAAGGTCCTGACAGCCTCAGAAAGGTCTTGCAGGCCTCGGCCTATTCTCAGATGGCTCCTAAACAGAATCGGATGATTCCCACTCTAAACGGTCTACTTATCAGCTCCGAACAAAAACAAACTCAGTTTTGTGAAAACAGAAAGGAGATTAGATGCCAGGAACTGAGCTGTAAGTTAGCATCAGGTCTCTGATCTGCCACAAGAACTGGACCCTCAGGGCGGCTGGCCAGTGTCTTGTGTGTTTTCTCTTATGTGAAGTTCTGAACACAGGACTCATTTAGTAAATGGCAATCCTTACTGAAGATCAAAACTACAGGGAATCACTCAGCATGATGCTCTCCGGTCCTCCCAGTTAGGTAATAATTAACAAAATCCTTGCTCCTACATGCTGCGTGGTCTTCCATTGTGTGAATGTACCATAATTTCTCGATCTATTCTATTGTGGTTGGACATGTGGGCTGTTTTCCATGTTCTTGTGATGATGAATAATGCTGCTATGAACAAGTCTCCATTTGTCCCTCAGTTCTGATTCTCTCAGGCTCTATTCCAAGCAGTGGAATAGCTGGGTCATGTGGAATTTCTATGTTCTCAGTCCCATAAGGACAAATACTGTGTGAGACCATTACTGTAGAACATGTATGAGGATCCAAGGTGGAAAGGGGGGAGCAGAGGGGTGAGGATAGGAGGAAAGGGGTGGGGGATTGGGGAACGAGGGGTGGATTAAGGAAATGAGAAAGATCCAGCATGAAAAACAATATATATATGAACTTTGTGAGTAAACCATTATTAAAAAAAGCATACACCCCATAATGAACGAGAATGGTTTTATGAAACATATTGTGAATGAAGAATAGCATGAAATGCAAGACATACATTGTAAGCATTGTTGACAGCGTCAGCTTGCTTGGCTAAACAATCAACCTTCTTGATACCACTAGGTACCAAGCAACTTGATGGCACATAACAAAAACAACAACTGAAAGGCTGGAAGTTTGAGCCCACTTGGTGGTGATGCCTTGGAAGAAAGGCCTGGCTATCTTCCCCCAACTCCCATCATCTTTTAGAAAACCTATGGAGGACAGTTTGATGTGGACACAAGGGGGCGTTGCTGCGAGTCAGAACTGACAAGGGCTCTTGTCTCTGCCCAGCATCTGGTGACTCAGCCTCAGTGGAGGTCTCAGAATCAATTGAATGAAACATCAGCAAAAAAGAGCATTTCTTGCCTTATCCTCTGTGTTCCTGGCAGTAAGTTCAGACTGTTCCTTAATTCTTAGCCACTCTAATCCCAGACGTGAACAGTTCGAATCCACCAGATGCGCTGCTGGAGAAGGAGAGACAATCTCCCTCCTGTACCAGTCAGATCCAATTTGACAGTACACACACACACACACACACACACACACACACACACACACACACATTAAAACTAATAAAATTTAATTAAAAAAAGGAAAAAAATACAATTTAAAAAAAATTCTTGGCCACTCTTTCTAGAGTGAGCAGGATAGAGTGTGGAGTGAACTGGATAATGAGCTGATAGCCTCTAAAGACTCAAAAACCCCACATATGCCTTAGGGGCAGCCTCGCTCTTAGAGGTTCCATCATATGTGTGACTCACAGCGACCCTACCAACAACAGACCTGAACCCTGTCCCACCCTGACCATCCCCATCATCTTTGTCCACGTGAGCCCATTGCTGTGCCCCCAGTGTCTGTCGATCCATCTGACTGAGGGTCTTCTTCTCTGACCCTCCCCTTTCCCGAGGACTAGCCTCTCCTAGCTCCGTGTGTAAAGTACCTGAGCAGGAACTCCACAATTCATGCCTCTGAGGAACACTCATGACTGCACCTTTCCTGAGGCATTTCTGTCCTTCCGTGGCCTATCCCGTACTCCTCTCCAACACCACAGCTCAGAGTGCCCCAGGCAATGCCGTCCCATCAAGAGAGCAGCCTGAGTCCAGCCCCTCCAGCCTCGGGCCTGGCGGACGATTCAGGTACCACTTTCTGCATCATTTTCCAGCACCGTTCTGGTCCAGGTTATGTGTCCCTTCCAAGTCTGTCACTCTGTGCCCATGTGCTCCCGTGACTCTGTGCCCCCCCCCATCAGTAGCACTGCATGGCAATTATATGTTTAAGCATCTGATTTTCTTCTACATTCAGTTGTTTGAAGGCAGGGGCAGAGCCTTAAAGGGCCATGAGCCGGTTCGTTCTGCTTTGACCTCCTGTAGAGGTCTGCATTTCCACCCCAGATATTGGGAGCTCATGTGGCCTAGTGCTAAAGAGTTGCACCACGAGCCTAAAGGTAGGTGGTTTGAATCCAACTCTCTGATGGAGTGACTCAGTGACTGGGAGTGGGTGTGTAAGAGACCATGAATTTGGCTCAGGATAGAGCAGGATTCAGAGCTGCTGTACATAAGCTCTGATGGATTGACTCTGTGAATGGAGTAATGGAGGCTGGTGTGTCAGAAACTATGAAGTTGGCTTAGGATAGAGCAGGGTTCAGAGCTGCTGTACATAGGGTCGCCATGAGTCGCGATGGCACATAACAATAACAACTTGGTTCTGTTCAAATACTTGCATTTTCTGCAGTGGCAAACTTTTTGGTGCAACCTCATTGACCCTTGCCAGGAATGGCACATTCTACAGAGGGTGCGCAGGTCCAAATGTGACCGTGTCAGGGGAGGCACCCCCAAGGGTGATCACTGAGAGGCAGGGCCCCTAGTCCAGGGCCCTTGCTAATCCAGGGCCTGATTGCAGGCCAGGAACTGCACACAGTTACCTAATCCCTGAGGGAGCCTCTGGAAAAAGGGTCGTGTGTGTGCTTTGGTGCCAGACACGGAATAGCATGAGCCTGGCCTCAGGCAGAGCTGGGGCAGTCTGAAGATCACTGCCAGCCACCTGGTGGGTGATTGGGGCGCCAGGGAGAATGTGGAGCAAGGAGAGGGAGCTCACCTTCCCTGCCCTTAGTCAGCTGTGGTGTAGACGCTCCTGCAGACCCAGGGTCACAACAACCAGATCAAGCCTTTCTTTCCTC